CAGCAACAGGTGACCTCAGGGGTCCTCTTCCTCTGAATTCATGGGTTGCTAGAACCGCCAGGCAGTCTTAGCGACCAGTGACGTCAAATGTTTTCCCTGCCCCCAGCATTACAGAAGGACAGGCCTCTGGGCTGTAAAAAAAAATAGAAAAAGAAAGTATGTGCCTCATACTATGTGGGGACATTCAGGGTCCATTCACACCTACGCCATACATTACAGTGCAGCAGGTCTGTTGCATTGCCATTCATTTGAATGGCACCCCAAATGCACCTCCCAGCTGCAATGCGGTCGACCACGCTGCAACATGCGGTACTGCAACACGCGGTACTGCAACACCATGCAGTGCAGTTGAAAAAAGTAGTAGTTCAACCTATTGGTTCAGCCCTCCACAACAGTTCCAGTTTCTCATGTGGCTCCTTGAGAAAATGAATTGACCACCCCTGATGTACAGGATGGGTTCTCTAATCTGCCCAATCACTGGTTCCCCCGAACAGTGGCTAGCATGAGGCATTCATGGGCACCTATAGACATCCAATTAAAAACGGGAAAGACTGTCATCTCAAGTCTGTTCCTGTACCTGTACAAAATTGTCAATATTGTTGCTGCCAATTGAATAAAATCAAAATCTACGTTTTTCCACACTGCAATTGACAACCTTGGAGAATAAACAAGTTTAAACATTTAAAAATTTTATGAGCTTTTCCACTGCCACACAGGGCTAAACCTGGTTAGCTGGAGTTGACCTTTAAAAGAAAAGTTGATCCTAGATGATATACACAAAGTTTTTTCAGTTGTATTTTTGCTAATATTTACTGCCAAACGTGTGTTACAACCATAAACAAGCAGTTTTTCACATTGAGTTACAAACTGATTGAATTAAAGTGGAGATTTCTTCTTACAGCTATAAGCCATTAGCGTGTGGCATAAAGTGCAGCTTTGCAAATAGTTTTTTTGCAGACATGGAATTTTCTCTTATAATACAATTTCAAAATTGAGCAAAAAGACACAGTGATGCCGCTCTAAATTAAATTACACTATAATTCTTCCCAGCATGATATATTGGCAACAGAATAGAGTACTGGAGGCAATTATAGTTCTCTTACATGCTGAAAGAATAATAAGTGTGCTAAGGAGGACGATCTTCATATGATTTAAGAATGTTGAAGTAACAGGTAGATTATATAAACACAAAGGGAGAATTTGTTAACTTTACTGGCTGCATAAATTTGATGCCTCGGAACTACTATCCTGCTGTGCACAACATATGAAAACTGTCAGAAGCAAATGCTTCGAAGCTGCAACAAGAAGGAAGCAGAAGGATCTTCTGCTGTTCAAAGGCCATGAGAGGACCCAGGTCTGTCTCTGAATCAGGAAATTCAGCCTTTACCTCCCACTGCAAACATTTATTTTCCACCTGTAGCTTTATCCAATCCTCAAATCTTTTGAGTTTAGAATTTGCAAATGTAATTGTAATAATCAGGTTTTTAAAAATCATAATGGAGTTGTAGCCTGTTTATTGTTTTTTTTCAGATGTATTTGCAAAAGAGATTCGCTTAAAGGGAAATTCCACCTTTTAGGAAAAAATAGTAAATGCACACATATTCATAAAATAAAAACATGTGCATTTATAAAATGTTTTGCATTGGAGCCAGTAAAGCAACCATGTTCAGTAGCGCACTGCAACTGCAATAAAAACAACAGCATCAGATGCAAGGAGAAGAACCCCATGATTCAGGTTACTGTGTGTGTGGTGGTGGTGGTGGTGGTGGTAGTTTGTTGATGTCATCATGTTACACCTTGAATATGGGTGTAACATGAAACATGGTCCAAAAGGTAAACTTAACCTTTAACCTTTTTTCTGCCACCGACGTATAATATACGCTGGTAGTGTGTTTACATGTGTAAAGACAACAGTTGGCTTTACACTGGAAGTAATCATTTCCAGAGACTTTGCAATGGTCTGCAAATGTGGCATTAGGGGTCTAATAGACCTCTAATGTCTCCTTAAAGACAACCAGGTCAATAAAGACAGTTTTGGACATCTGACCTTGGTGTGCTGGTGACACATTGTAGCTACTTAAAGACAACCTGCCACCACTAAAATTCTATCATATAGGGGGATTGTGAGCCCCCTATGTGATAGCAATAAAGGTAAGTAAAAATGTAAAGTTAACTCTAAACTGCACAAGGCTGAGTCTAAACTACGCAAGGCTGAGTGAAATTGTGTCAGTGCATTCAGGAAGTACATCCTATGGACATATTCAAAAAGGTAATTTTACAAACTTCTAGGTCGCTATGGTTATTAGAAGTAGGATAAAAGTTATGGTAGTTCAATATAGAAATACATATTGATTTTTGGTTTTTGACAATAGATGCCCTTTTAATCTTCACTTTCAAATTACTATATTATAGCAGGATCACAGAAAGTTGTTTTAAGAGGTGGATTGGTATACATTTCTGGGGCCTACTAAGTACCGCCAAATGCCAAGTCTGATAGATTGTGCACATGCACACACACATGGCTCTGCATCATGTTGGCCTGGACATTATCAATTATTATCATTATTATTTTTATTATTATTATACAAGATTTATAAAGCGTCAACAGTTTGCACAGTGCTTTACAAAACTGGGGAAGATAATACAGTCAGCAATACAATTTCAACACAGTCAGGAAGGTAGGAGGGTCCTGCCCGTGAGAGCTTACAATCTTGTAGGTTAGATGTCATGTGTTGGTCATGCCCTCCCAGTTATATCTGCCTCTTCCACTGGCACTGCCCCAATAAATAACACAGGCTCTGGAATCCAGCGTTTGAATGATGATAGCTGAAGCTGACACATACATGACGTTCTTTATTCTGTAATGTCAGAAAACAGCTGTTGGAGTATCGGGGAAGAGCTGTGCCCTCTGCAGTCTTTGTACTCCAATAAATGGACGTTTGCAGAGAGTTGCCTGAGCACATTTGATGAAATCAGTATTTTATATCCAGAACAGCTTTCATTTTTTTCATTACAAATAGAGTCATTTGGAGCTGGTGTCTCTCTAATTATGAGGCTGTGCAATTTTCCTTTCCATCTGTTAAAAGGTCTAGTGGAAGGTTAAGTGTAAAAACAAACCGTAAAATAAGCGAGAAAAATTACGCCACTGACGACGGTGGAGTTATAGTGTTTGATATAATGTTTTGCTGTAAATATAAAATAAAAGAATGTACTGCCTTTGAACGGAGAATAACATACATTCTGCCTTTTGCTTATATCATTTTGCTGACTAATTGAAGTTGATTAACTATTCACAAAGCCCAGCAAGCATCGTTGAGTGTGAATTTTTATGTTCTGTTGCTATGGTTTTAGTGTTATGTAAGTGCCCTGTAATAGCATACGCAATGGGACAAGCAAAAGGAAGGTTAAGGGTAATGTCGGGCATTAATGGGGGCGGACGGGATCTCCTTTTATAGTTGCTAAACACGCAATGGTTCTACAGATTTTTTCAGAGATGTCTTCATGTTCAGTCAAAAATAACCTGTCATGAGTGATATACAGGGCTTGTCTTTGCTGACCTTTTCAATCAGAATTAGTCATCTTGAACAAGTATGCAGGAAGTGAAGTCAAAACCCTTTATCTGTATAGCTGCCCTGGATCAGATAGTTAGAAAGCACAGGAGACAGCATCACAACAGCCAGACAATTAATATTGCCCCCATATACAGGTATCTCTTACAGCAGGATTCCTTTAAAGCCCACAGCACAGCTATTTTTTTTTTTGGCAATCTTTAATTTTTACATTACTGCTGTTATTTATTTATTTATTTTATTTCTTAAGGGGCTCTCTGAGCTCTCTCCTGAAATGTAAAGCAGGGAGCCCGACTCATCAAAACGGTGTCTATGATCGACACCAGTGCCGGTGTTGTGCGTCTACCCCCCTCAACCTGCATTAATGATTCCAAAAAATAAAAATAGCTGTGCCTGAAGTTGAGCTTTGGGCCTCATTCACACAGCTAAGAGTCGGCTCATACACATCCGTGCGGCTTGCATGGCCGTATCGGGCCGTTCCCGGGAAGGACAGGTGCTTTGTGTGATTGTACGCAGCAGCCTGTTCTTCTCTATGGGAGTACACGGCCATACGCTCACCCGAGCTGCACATCCGTGTGGGTGCGGGTGTCCGTACTCACGCCACACGGATCTGTACGGGCATACTTTAAGCTGTGTGAATGAGGTTTTGAAGTGTTTCTAGGCAGAAGGTTTTTTTTAACTTGATTAAATTGTCACACTTTATTCATTCCTATTCCTCACAGCACCTTTTTATACGGTGTATTGCATTCCGACATGCTGTGCTGAAAAAATTACTGCATGTCCTACTTTTTTCTAGTGCACCCCACCACAGCATGGGAGTGTCAACTGACATCATAAGGCCCGGAGCAAATTGCCTATTCTATGCGTTGGAACTGCAATGGGCACAGCCGCTCAGCACAGCCCAACGCATCTGGTGTAAATGGGCCCTAAAAGAGGATTTCCCCTAAGAGACTTTTTCTCACTTTCTGTTTCTGGAAGATAGCAAATAAAAAAAGACTGACAATGGTTGTATCCACTGACATTCCCTATGCTATTCAAAATAAAAAAAAAAAAAAAAAAAGTTTGGTTTATCGGGGCCCT